TAGAATAGCTGGTAGTTTCAAACTTCTGACCTTGATGTTGGCAGCCTGACTCATAACCACCAAGCTATTTATTGTTGTTGTTGTTAGCTGCCACTGAATTGGTACCAATTCATAATGACCCTATGCACAACAGAACGAAACACTGCCCGGTCCTGGGCCAACCTCACAACTGTTGCCACGCTTGAGCCCATTGATGCTGTCACTTTGCCAATCTAGCTTGCTGGGGGTCTTCCTCTTTTCTTCTAACCCTCCACCTTACCAAACATGATATCCTCTGCAGCAACTGGTCCCTCCTGACAATATGTCTGACATATGAGACAAAATTTGGCCATCCTAGCCTCCAAAGAGCACTCTGGCTGACTTCTTCCAACATAGATCTGTTTGTTTTTTGGGAAGCCCATGGCACTTTCAATATTCTCCTCCAACATCATAACTCAAAAGCATCAATTCTTCTACAGTCTTCCTTATTCACTGTCCAGCGTCTGCATGCATATGAGATTATTGGAAATACCATGGCTTGGGTCAGGCTCATCTTAGTCCTCAAGCTGACGTCTTTGCTCTTCAACACCTAGAAAAGGTCTTGTGCAGCAGATTTGTCCAATGCAATACATCGTTTGATTTCTTGACTGCTGCTTCCATGAGTGTTGATAGTTAATCCAAGAAGAATGAAGTCCTTAACAACTTCAATCTTTTCTCCATTGATAAGAATGTTGTTTATTGATCCAGTGGTGAGGATTTTTGTTTTCTTTACATTCAGATGCAATCCATACTGAAGGTTGTGGTCTTTGATATTCATCAGTAAATGTTTTAAGCCCTCTTCACTTTCAGTAAGCAAGGCTTAATGAGTCTTCCTCCAATCCTGATGCCGCGTTTTTCTTCATAGAACCCAGCTTCTTAGATTATTTGTTCAACATACAGTTTGAATAATTATGGTGAAAGAATACAACCCTGTCGCACACCTTTCTTAATTTTAAACCATTCAGTGTTCCCATGTTCAGTTCGAACTACTGCTTCTTGATCCAGGTACAGATTTTCTTGATCCAGGTACACAATTAAGTGTTCTGAAATACTCATACTTCGCAGTGTTTTCATAGCTTGTCATGATCTATACAATCGAAAGCCTTTGTGTAGTCACTAAAGCACAGGTAAACATCTTTCTTGTATTCTCTGCTTTCAGCCAAGATCAATCAGACTTCAGCAATGATATACCTTTTTCTGTTTATTAGGTATTTTTATTTTGGTCAGTAAAGATTGAACTGACATACTAAAATGCATTTTTGAACAGCAGAGGGAGCTGAAGGACTTCATTTTAATAAGAAAACTGATGAAATGTAGATAATTTAGGTTTAGATTCAGACATGCAGAAATCCAAAAAGGAAAAGCCCATCTTTGAAGAATGAAGAGCTTTTCCTGAAAATATACATTTCCTGTTCTTTGAACAGTTACTTTGCCCAAGGGTGGTGGTTGTTAGCTGCCATC